GAAACATAGCCACTATGACTAAAATGGTACATAGGGGGTAAAATGCATTTTTTTCGCTTTTGAAGAAAATATGACAGATACAAAGAACATTTAATTGGAATTTTTAAGACACTCATTAATATATATGAAAAGCAAAATTATCATTGTGGAAAAATTTTAAGCAAAAAATAACAGGTGAGCGATTCATGCTCTTGAGAGCCTCTTGTTTAATATTGATAGCATTGATATGAATTTGTTTCACTCTCAAAACAAAAAAGATAAACAACACATTTTCTCAGTAAAATCAGCACAAAAACTTATCTAACTGGCATGTCAATGTTCTACATGATATTGCAAAAATCTTGACATTTTTTTAATGCAATACAAGTTGCATCTAGGTAAAAATCTATTGTTATAACTAATAAGTAAACTGTATCAATCAAAATTCATTGTAGAATGGAAAGTCAGCTTAAAGAAGAATTTAGAGATTGCCTCAAGAGTTGTGTATCTGGAAGGAAAATGTTCGGAATCTTTGGCCAGTGCTGACTACACTTCACCAGAAACACCGTTTTTATTTCAGTTAGAGAAAACTATGTTAGATCTGTCATCACCCTCCCTTAATGATGGAGAATTTTACTGCTCTTTCTTTAAGCTTGATGATGTTTACTACTGCAGATTTTTTGAAAGTGGAGTTCTTCAGGGATATTTCTTATCAGAGGGTATGCTTCATATCTACCATGTAAATTCATACACAGTGGTCTACACCATTGTCCTTAGTTTTTTCCCATTGAAAAAAACTTATACATTTTTACATTGTTTTCATATTCCTGATGTATCTATGTTATAACATTATTCAAGTAAGATGTGCAATTAATCTTTAAAAAAAAAGGAATTAAACATTCACTACAGTATAAACTATTCATTATATGATTAATTATGGTCCTTAGCCACACAACTCATGATTATCATGTTTTTTCAGGTATTCATATTTTTTTAAGGAAACTTATATCCTTTCAGTTCTTTTTGTCAGAATTAGAAAAACAGTTTTAGATCAGTTTTTCACTATCATGACTATACAATCAAATGCCCTAAAAATGTTATCACATCATGAAGAATTGTTGCAGGTCCTGTTAGCATACCATGATTGTGAATAAGGAAATCTAGAAAAAAATGTATTTACTTCATGAAACCAAAGAAAAATTAAATTTTATCTGCAATTAAGATTTTATGACTTCACTTGTTCTAGACCAATTATATAGCGTGGTTATATCTAATACCAAATTAATGTCTCTTTCATTTTACCCATACCACTCTTTAAACACAGAAGTGATAATTCTTGCCTTGAGTTGCTGTCTCATATGCATAAACCCAAACCTCAATTTCTAAAAGACACATGTCTGCAGTTTGTAATAAACTAAGTGTGATGAGAAGTATATTAATATATACAAAGACTAAGTACTAAACTATTATTTATTCAAGAATATAAAACATGTAAATTTATTTACAATATGGCAACTGGGGACTTACACAACCAATAATGTATAATGTTCTATCTCCATATGCAAAGGGAGATAACTCTAGCTAAATCTTGAAACTTGGAATTGAGATAAATTTTTTATAGATTGACTAAAAAATTTGTATCGAAATAGCCAAATACAGATGCTTGCAGCTGTAGCCCCAAGTTGAATAATGAGAAAAATAAAAATCAATCCACTCCTTGCTGTCAGTACAAATTTTAATTGTTCAAAGTAGAGGTCATTTGAATTTGAGCTTGTCTAAGTATATCTGGAGAGGTATGAATGTATTTGGTATAACAATCTGAGGACCATCGTCCCAAAGTTTGAATAAGATGATCTTCCAGTCGTGCAGTAGTTGCAGCACCACTTCTGAATGAATGGCCATTATACTATTCACTAGATAATCCTAATTTGTCTAATGTACATTTTACATGAGAAATGAAAAAATTTCTTGACAATGGATCACCTTTATTAGTAATAAAAAAGGACTCAGAATTGCTAAAAATACTCATTCTGAGTCTATAGTATTTTTGAAGTACAACTACAGGACATATATCTGAAAATTTTTTAAACAAAGGAATAGTAATACCATACCTAAAAGGATCAGTCTTAGATTTCTTTAGGTGCACAAAAATACAGTCATTTGATATTTGAACATCACTAAGACACAAATTTGATTCAGGATCAAATTTTTTTGTATCATGAACAGAAAATTTACCACATCTTAAAAACATGAAAAAAGCTGTTATACATGCAGCTTCTATTAAAACATCTGTAAAACTATCAAAAATACAATTGTGTAGTAAAAAACACATTCTGTGTAAAATATCAAAAGTTATAGGTGAACGAATTCTCTTAGGCATAATGGCATGCTTCTTTTTCAAACCTACTAATACTGATTTTAATTTTGGTAATGGTTTACCGACAAAGTTCTCTAATGGATTAACGCCCCCTTTTAGTAAGTAAAAGAAACGTATGCCACATAGGTAGGATTTAATGGTGAAATATCTCAGAAGGCTATAAAACGCATCAACAAGTTTTCAGAAACTGGTGGTAACTGGAAAGTTGACCAAGATGATCCTTGCGGTTGTAAGAACTTAAGATAATGTTCATATCCCATGTTGTACAAAGCTTTGGTTGAATCTGCAACAGCGAAAGCTTGTAAATTTTCTACTGCGATGTCTAAATAATCTCTTCCAGGGTTGGACAAGGAGTTGCTGCTTTCTCTGCCTCTGGTGCTAACTGATGAAATTTGTTCATATATCAAATCCATTACGAAGGCTGTTACATAAAAAGTTCACAAAATGCCTATCAGGATGATTTAAAAGTTCCTTTTCTAGTTGGTCAATGTTAAGAGGTGTTGATGGAACGCCTTTTGTATCAATAAAATCTAGTCATTTTGATTTAGTGTTGAGCTGTCTAGCTGGGAATGAATTGTTTTGTTCCTGTTGTTGGGTTCCTGGCATAGCTTTATTTGTGGAACATTCAAACTTTCCATGGGTTTTCCTGCAGATTTCACACACGTGGGAATATCGGCAGTAAGGTTTGACACAACCTTTTGGTTGATTAAAATTATTGCAAATTTGCATTCCATCGTGAACCAAACTATCTCTTCCATATTTGTCTTGATACGGAGGTACGCAAAGTTATCCTATATGATGATAAATCCTTCTTGATTTATAAAGACAAAAAACACAGTTATAAGTCAAAGAGGTGACCATAACAAAAGAAGTTCATGTTTAACTTGCAGACACATATCATACACAAATATCGTGTGAAGTAGTGACGTAGCAAAATTAGATTAGAATTGAATGTGCACTGTGACGTCATAGACCGTGTGCAAAGATAATTAACTGCCCAATAGAGTGAGAAGACAAGTTCTTAATAAACTCCAATTATAATAAATATAATTTTGATATAACCCTTATCATATTCATGTTCAGTGTTTATAGTTAATAAAAATTATAATTATGAATATCTTTTATTTACATTTTCTGCATACTCATGATAGTGTTAAGTTAAGTTCAATATGTCAAATATCAGTAACCTTTAGCATTATTTCAATATGTGAAAAAATATGTTGTCATATAAGAAATATATATTTATTCATTCTTTTAACATTTATAGAAATACATTTCTTAATTTTTGTCACTAGGAATGTCTCAGCTTTTTGAGGAACATCATTTGGATATAACAAGACTGGTTTGGTTGCAAGTTTCCACTCAAGATGATATTAAGCAGTACCACAGAAGATACACCCTTAAGTTAGAAAGAAAAAGAAGTCATCATTCATTAAGCAAGTTTACTGTTTTAAAATATACAATTAATAACTACAACTGCATTGGACATAATTCCATGTTCAGCATCAAAATTGATAAACTTCATAGATGATACCAAACTATGTAGGAGGAGGAATCGGATAACTGAAACCTAGAAGACAATTTATGATAAATAAAAAATTAAAAGCAATGAGCAAGTAAAACATATACAGACATACATTATATATGAACAGCATATAAAAAACTTAAAGCTTTTGATAATACAAACAATATCCTGATTTATAAGCTGCTTCCAATGATGTATTTTTTGTATTGCCAAGTGAGCAAAGATGATTGTGATTCAAGTAAGAATACAGTCTGCATATGCATGCTCCAATTTAATTTGTGAAAAATGGGGGCTTCAGCAGTTGAGTGGTCTTCGGTGATAACTATCCTGTCAACACTGAGGCTGTAAGTTTGAACCCGGCAAGGTGTGTTTAACTCTGATCATGAATGTTAAAGCCAATTGTGGCAAGTCAACAACAGCAATCAATCATCTGAAAACAGATACTTCTCTGGTGTAATTTTTCTAGATAATATTCTAATTAAACAATATTCTGTCCTCAACAGCAGTTACATTGTTATTTTATAATGCTAGTTTCAAAGAATGAGATTATTGTTTTATTATTGTAGGTTATCCGGGTTCAGATACTGGAAGACGATACGTCAACCTTCTTGAAAGAAATAAATCTAATATTCTGAATTCACACAGAAAATTGATGGCAAAGGCACAAACCTCGACACAGAATCTTGCAAGTTACTGGGAACAGTGGAAAATGTTATCAAACATAACTCTCACAAGGAAAACAATACTCACAAAGCCAGGTATAATTGAGATCTTCAGAAATGAAACTTATATTGGTCTTTGTTTTTCTCTAAGAAATACTTGTTGAAATGAGATATAAATTTATCTTTTTATTCAGTTTGCATCTTTCAACTACCGGTATGTATTTATTGAATTTTATTGCAGGAGTAATTGAAGAGAAATATTATTGGTTTGAATCAGGGCTTCCAAAATTATTTTAGCCAGCCGGACATTTTATATATTATCCCGATTTTAATCCCTTAAGACTAAATAAACAAAAGGCAATTATGATAATCAGTTGCCGAGTTCAACCTCCCAATGATTGACATTAAAAAAAAAAACGATATTAAACTTTCTTTGATTCAAATTCGAAGTTCTGACGTTAACTGTTAAATTTGCAGTGCATCATTCGAAGTGTGCAACATCAGCGTACTTATATCTGCCTTAGACTCTTTATTTGTGCAAAATAACGTTGTCAAAAACTTTACTTTCGTTTTTAAAACTAATACCGGATGTTATCTTGACAATGGTAAAACATGGACCAGAGACGGATACGTAAATTCCGTGTACGTTTGCAAAGCATGAATGAGTGTAAGTAGCTCTTTCTACGTTATTTCTTCAAGAAAATATTCGAAATAAACGTGAGATAAAGGTATCAATGACAATTTAAGCATTTTTTGAAGAAATTAGGATGCATAATTAAATTTCACACCTGCACACATGCGCACACGTGTACTAGTTCAAACAGAGACTGTCTCTGGTTATGACGATTTTTCATTTTCACCTTTTTAATTTTTTCATCAAATCATATTTGTAAACGTATTTCTGATAATTTAAATCTTTTGGACTAAATTAATTAGATGCAAACTGCTGAAATGTAAGAAAATAACTTTGAATAGACCGATCAATGTCCGGTTCAAAATAGTTTACCTGTCTCCTGAACAGGTAAATTTCAGCTGTTCGACAACTAATTAGCCTTGATTAAAATGAGAAGGTATTAAAATAGGGGTTGTTTTGATCATGTTACTTTTATGACCGGAAATGTGTGGCTGTTAAACGCAAAAGGTTGGGTCAAAAAGATCGCGAATTATGTTAAAATGACCGTCTCTTCAGAAAGCCTTGAAAACTAAAAAGTAGATGACCGTTTCATGCTTTGCCCAGCCGGACTTTTACCGGACATTATATAAATGTCCGGAATATATGACCGTTTTGGAAGCCTTGGTTTGAATGTCTATTTCAGTGTGTAAAGGAAATTTAAAAAAATGACACTTAGAAGCTATTAACTTACGTTTGTTATGCCCCTGCTGCGGGGCAAAAGGAGCATTAAGTGTTACCTTTGACTGTCTGTCCATCCCAATTTTTATTTCTGCACTCTTATTTAAAGTTTTACTCATCCAATTCTTGTGATACTCATACACAATGATAAGAACTGTAACGACACAGGCGTTATGAAATAAGATGTATAAATATTCATCATAGTTTATTAAATTCTCCATATATATATATCATCATAATATCACAACTATTTCTTCTGTTATAAAAATTTCACATTAAAAATCTTCTAGTTTCAATTTATATAATTTTAGGCAACGTCTAAAATACAATATGAAAGAAACAAAAATATAAAGAACATTAGTATGTTTCATGTCTGTATATAAATTTTATACAATATAATTAGGTGCATAAATTTCTATTTCCTCACTAAAATTTCCTTTCTTATTTTTTATCATAAAGTTTAATAATTAATTAAATCTATAAACTTTAAACAATTACTAAAATGTAATTTTCATAATGGATTTCCATATAAAATAACCAAATAAACTGTTTCTAAGTATTTCCAATTCTGAAATATATTATCTCCCTTATCAAATTATCTCCCCTTATCAATACTGATGTTATAACATGTACTTCAAAACGCAATGAACCTTATTCCGGACTTATCATAAAAATCTAAATAGCTTCTCCATAACTAAACTTACAACTTGTGAATGAATTATGACTTTAATAACTTCTATATCTTTACTCTAAAACTGTCTTAAATATGTAATAACTTTAATTATTGCTTTTCACCTAAACCACATGCTACACGTGGTATGCTTCTCGCTCGAAAGTTTACTATGATAAAAACTTGTTTTAAAGCAATAATATTACTTCATAATAATCATAATTCAACTTACAATATTTGAATGTTCACAATTCTGTTTCCAATTACACACTTCACATTGTGTTCTCAAAAACTTGTCAGTGAGTGACAAAAATAAATGTCAACCTCTTTAAACTACCCACGCTATTATCTGCGCAATCGCAGTCAACTTTAACCTACGAGAGTATCAAAAATCTCTTTTTACAATAAAATTAAAATCTATTTATTTTTATCTTTATCTTCTTTTTATATATTCTTTGAATATCTTAATCACTAAATAGTAATTATTTTAGAGTAAAAATAATTTCCAAACTAAATTTCAATAACTATACAAAGGGAAACAATTCAATCTAAAAAGTTATCAAAATCTCAATCTCTCATGCTACAGAACCACAGCATGCAAACAATTGCAAAGCATGAGCAGGTGTATTCTTGTCCTCAAACACATTCTATTTTATTAATGATGTAATTTAAGCTGTTTTCTCTACCATAGTGGAATAGCTTTTAACATGTTTAATAATTCTGAAAATTGTATTAATGTAATGCGAGTTTGCATCAGAAAAAGATCGAAAATCAAAAAGAAATTTAAATACATTTTTGTGTATCAGATAAGATAAAACAATTTATAATGTATTGTTGTTTATCAGTTTTACACTACATATTTGTTTTTGATATATGCTATTAAAGGAGAATTAAGGAAGGAATTACTAATAAAAAATTATTAATGATATCTTAAAAATCTTTGAGACCAGTTTAACATGTTTAAAAAAAAGATATTTTACAGTTATATTATTTCATATATTCAATATTGTATCAAATAGAATGTTATATTTTCAGTTGTCTGAATTTTTAACCTAAAACATATCTACCGTAATATGATTGAAAATAAATGTTTCTTTTGTAGATTTATCGAAGCTTCCAGAGTCTTTCATCCAATTCTTCATACATGGGAAAATACTATTCATAACTACCTCTCTAAAGGAGTCCCTGTTGAAAATTCAGAATTTAAATTTATTTTTGATCCACCATCTAGCTCAAAATACACATTGTATGACCAGTGCAAAATTATTTCCTGCGTACCAAATGACCATTATTGGAATGAGGGAACCAATGCTCATGTTGGCTATGGTAGAATGCTATCCGTCCGTGATTCCACTGAGAAATATAAGCCTGCTTCTCTTCGTAATTTGATACTTTTCCATCACAGAGAATCCAACTACTCTGCAATATTTCGATTAGTTGACAAGTTTCGTAACCCAGAGTCTTCTCCAGCCAATTCACGGCAGTGTTAACGTATATTTGTTCCGCCTAACAGAAGTTCCACTGGAAACTTTGTTATAAACAATGTCATAATATCTATTCCTGTTGTAACAAATATTCTATACCATTTATTCCGTTAGGAACATATACTGTAATATTTATTCCTGTGGAAATAATATTCCAGAATATTTTTTCCTTTTGGAACTTATATCATGAAGGAACTTCTATTCTGTGACAGCAGAACATCAATGACGACAATATCAACATTGGGGACAATATGCAAAATTCTACTCTGAGACAAGTAAGACCTAAACGAAAAGCTTTAAATGAAGAGGATATTTTAAGAAACCTTAGATCTGTAAATCCTCTCTTTACACACACAACAGGGCTTCAGAAAATTCCTTGTATGAAAAGTATAAAACAGCTCAAATTGAGACTGGAGGTTTATTTTGGCGTGTACACAAATCAGATACCGATGTCCTCTGTTTAAATGATGTCAACATGACCACTGGATGTTTAATGGAGTCATCTTTTGTTCACATGTCGAGGAGAACTGTTGGGAATGTCAACGTATACCATTGCACATGTACACTGTTTGCAACTTTATTACAGCTCCCAACATTAGATGAACAGCCTGACACAGAAATAGATTCTATTATCATCAAATGCTGCCATATAAGGTATTTCAAAGAAATTATTGAACCAGATTATCCCATCTACTTCAGCACAGAATTTTTTACATCACCAACAAAATCTCAGAAAAGTATAATGATATCTTTGGCTGCTTTACAAAAACCTGTAATTTTACTTCTGTCTTCTCTTCGAACCAAAAAATTTTCAGTTGTACCAAACAGTAGTCAAGATTGTAAGTTTGTGAATGTTTCCAGAAACCATGTATCATGCCAGTCCGGTGAATGTAGTGCCATTTACAGTTTTTCTACTCGGAAAGTCATATACTTGAGCGAAACAACTAATATTTGTCCTCATCTGCAAGCAATGAAAAACCACAAAAATTTATGGATGAATGTTAATTATATCGAAGAAGACTTTGAAGATGAAGATGAGGAAGCATTTATTGATAATGAGGAAGATGAGAATGATCTGGAGGATACTTATCAACCAGAAACTACTCAAACAAAGAGGGTAAGTTAACAACTACAATTATTAAACCAAACAAGATATCTAATCAATAGACAAGAATGACACCGTTCACTCAATTTTTAATCAAATTTAATTTACAAACGTTGGAAATAACATGCAATTACCAACTAAATACCTTCAACACAAACATTTCCTCGATGGACCAAAAATCACTTCAGGAACATAAATACAATAACTGATGCAATTGCCCATAAAGTATGATTTTACTTGACTAGAAAGATTAAAATCATATGTTCTTAAGGATGTTCGCTGGTCATGTTTTTGTCATAGTTGGCGCCCCGTAAATTGGGTGAAGGTCGTAATAAAAAAAAAACATAAATATTTCAATTGATTTTTTTAAAATATGTATTTATTGTTAATCATCAATAAAAAAGTGTTTGAAGCATAAAAATTGACGCGATAAGACATTACTTACATAAAAAAATACACGATTTCCGTTTCCGGTTGATTGTAAACAAAGGCTGTCGGCTGCAGATATTTTTCAGTGAAATTCCGTTTTTACGTATTTTGTAACCTTTTACATCGCTTTTATACATTTTTTACGTTTTACTTTTTATATATATTATAATCAGTAATGGCTAAACGTACACCGGGTTTTAAATCTGCAAAACAGAAGCGAAAATCAGAGGCAGTTTCTGAAGCTCAAAGAAGATGATGGGAGACATCAAAACTTGTTCAGGACCACCCATACGCTGTTATTTCTGAGCGCAATTCCAATAAACCGGATATATCAAACTGTATTAATGAGGAGGTCATTGACGTTGACGGTAGCAATGTAACTGCAGTTTTTACAGAATGGAGAGTTGGTCGTAGGGTCGTGGAATTGGGAGTTTTGGCGGATGGGTTATCAGCTTGCAAGAAATGCGGTCTTCCCCTTTCTTTGCAAAACTGCAGCAACATTAACTCGTACGGTCTAGCTGCCATTTTGAAGATTGTATGTGCCAACACAGCCTGTCTCAACACAAATCTCATTCCCACAGGAAAAAGACATGGAAAAGTATGGGATGTCAATTCCAAATTAGCAGCAGGTAAACATTTTGTTGTGATTAACATGTACAAGAAAGGGGTATACATCGTAACACCCTTCACCCCTGCAATATTTACTTACAAAAAAAAACCCTACCATGATAGCTTGGTAATATCATTTTTACAATTAATACATGTATGTCATGTATGTATCAGGCCATAGACCACAATTAATGACGAATATAGTTTCTTGTTATTATAGTGTCTTTTTTTCTGTATTTTTGTTCTCTGCCTTCCTGATTCATTTCTTAGTTTTTATCAGGTGGAAAATTCAAATGAAAGAAGAGAGTTGAAATAATTTTTTAGATGCATTATTTTAACTATTCAGTAGTGGGAATGAGTGATTAGGCCAGTTGCAAAAGGTAACATTTATAGTTTTCAGATCATCTCTTGACTAGTCCATACCAGTATGGGTGTGTTTTGGCTAATTTAATGACCTGCACAGAAGGGATTTTCCTAAAAGTTGGATATAATGTGAGACTTGTACTGTACATTACACATACCAAATATTTTGCAAATTCGCAGGTTAATTTTTATGCCCCCGCCGTAGCGGAGGGGGCATTAAGTTTTACCCTTGTACGTCTGTCCGTACGTCCCAAAATTGGTTTCCATTCTGTAACTTTAGTGTGCCTCAACTAAATGTAATGAAACTTATACACAATGCTTATTACCACAAAACACAGATCAAGTTTGAATTTTGGTGGCGTCACTTTTACCGTTCTAGAGTTATGCCCCTTTACAAATGGAAAAATTGCTAAGTTTTTCGGTTCCGTTCTCTAACTTAAGTTTGCCTCAACCAAATGTTATGAAACTTATACACAATGCTTATTACTACAATACACAGATCAAGTTTGAATTTTGGTGCCGTCACTTTTACTGTTCTAAAGTTATGCCCTTTACAAATGGAAAAATTGCTAAATTTTTCATTTTTTTTCTAAAAATATCAATCAAGTAATTTTTAAGATTGGAGTTATCTTCCTTTGTCCATGATAATAGTTGATTCAACTACAATCAATGCTTTATACAATGCAATGTTTAATTTTGCCTCCCACTGATAAATTAAAGCAATTTTTACCCTTCAGTGCTTACATGCACTTTGATTAACTTTATATATGTAAGCGGGGGCATCATCTGTGTCCCATGGACACATTCCCCATTTTTATTTTTTAATGTGAAAAAACATTATACAGAAATGATAGGGAAATTAATTGTGGTTTGTGGCCTTAGAGGTGAATTTCAGCAAATTTTGAATTTGTACTTTGACGACTTCCCTGAATGATCTATTGGTATTAATTTGTCAAACTACATGAGAATAAATGATTTCCACTTTTATTTGATAGAAATTTTGTATAAAAAGTCACATTTCAGCTTATACATGTATGCCCCAAATTTAGCTTTTTCAGTTGTTTCAATATTTTTACAAAAGTAACATGCTTACTTTCTCTCTGACAGGTTTTTCTGATTTTCTATTTGTGTTTGTGCTTTTGTTATTTAATTTAGATGTTCTACTCATTTGTGAACTCTGAACACAAAGAAAAGTAGATAAAAACAGAAAAAGTGTGCAAAATGTGCTGTTTTAATGGTCTAAGTCTATAACAGTCAGTATGAAGCAAGTGAAATGTGAGGTACAATGCACATAAAAGTTGAATTCCTTTTAGCAGATTTCACTGAATCTGTATCAAAAGCACTTATTACTGGTTGTTTTACCTTGTCCGTTTTACAGAATACCTTTATTTTCTTCTGCTGGATAGCTAGTGGTTAAAATATTGGCCTTTTGAGGCTGAAATTTCATGCAGGTTTTAAACAGTAAAGTGATTAAACTTTGCATCAGACCATATTGTCCACATATAATGTTGAAAGCGACTGTCTTGTTACATCCAGGCTTCATGTTTCATCATATCTAAGCAAAGATTTGAGCAAAAAGAAGCATATTTCCATCTCCCATATCATTTAAATGCTTTTTAATATGCAAATATGGGGAACGGCCTAAATTGACAATTTGTTTTTTTAAGCTTGACATTGCTTAAGACCATGTCATCCTCTTGTGTTATGCTATTTGAAACTTATAAGTACATTTATAATATGTAGAAGTGTTTTTTCTAACTTAACAACTTCAGAAAATTGTTGTAAATGGAAAATATTACATTTCATATAAGGCCTTGCTTCATTTGAAAACCTCAATTTTTTGGCACAGGCTCATATAAAATTAACTTTTGGCCAATTTTTTATAAGTCTGATACCTTTAGTATGCTATCTGTTACTTTAAATAGATGATATCTTATACATAGAGACATTAAAAAGTGCACATTTTTGTATCTTTTTGTTTTTTGAAGACAAAATTTGATAGTTGAAATTATTATACTTCACGTAAAAATGCCATATTTTGATTGGCTAATACGAGGGTGTTAATCTATCACATGGCTGAGCGGGTGACAATTTTTTTGAATGTCACCCTCTCGTCCAGACCAATCAAAAATCGATAATTTAAAGGACAATGAATTGAAATTACATCAAATTATTAAAGACAATGCTTAAGTTCTACTATTGGCTTAGATTCTATTATTTGACTGTCAAAATAAAGAATAAAACATCTTGCTTCACTTCTAATCCCCGTAACGTTGTTATGTATGTGACGTCATAAAAAATACTTTTGAATAAAATTCATCTTTAAAAGACAATAATGATATAGGACATTCAGTATAATAAATTAAATAACACATAGCTGAGAGGGTGATAGAGCAGATTGGTACCCCTCGAAAAAGCATTGTCAACCTTGGCTTCGCCGCGGTTGACAATGTTTTCTCGGGTACCAATCACAATTCAGCAACCAAAGTTCAGATATAAAAAAGGCCACATTTTCTATAATTGATATCATATGGCTTTGGAACTGGGTAAACTGTCTCATAATACACTAAGCTTAAATCATGACCAGTTTTATTAGAATTGGTCAAGTTTTTGACCCCTAATAGGCCCCAGACCACAATTAATGACCCCGCTTTTCGTTGTCCGCGAATATAGTTTCTTGTTATTATAGTGTCGTTTTTATTTATTTTTGTTCTCTGCCTTCCTGATTCATTTCTTAGTTTTTATAGGGTGGAAATGAAAGAAGAGAGTTGAAATAATTTTTTAGATGCATTATTTTAACTATTCAGTAGTGGGAATGAGTGATTAGGCCAGTTGCAAAAGGTAACATTTATAGTTTTCTGAACATAACTTGACTAGTCCCTACCAGTATGGGTGTGTTTTGGCTAATTTAATGACCTGCACAGAAGGGATTTTCCTAAAAGTTGGATATAATGTGAGACTTGTACTGTACATTACACATACCAAACATTTTGCAAATTCTAAGGTTAATTTTTTTTTAATATGAAAAAACATTATAAAGAAATGATAGGGAAAAATAATTGTGATCTGTGGCCTATCAGGGTCATAAAATAAAATGGGGGGGGGGGTGTATTTTCCGTCCATATTGCAGATAATAAATTTGTTATTCAGAGTGCTACTTCTAGTACATGTAGTGTTAACGGGCCAACTTAACACACAAAGTAATATTTTAGAGTACTCTCAGTTACTGAAAGCTAGTGAACAGCCAAAAACAATTGACAATAAAAAAAATCATGCAATAGAGACTAAAACACATCTGAGGGATTTAGTGTTTTAACACCATAGACAGTCAAAGAAGACATGATTTGTGCAATGTCAATTAAAAGTATCAACAGGCAATAGGATCGTTAGGATGCAACATTATAATTAATATGTATTATGATGTATTTAGATAAAGCATTATCCCATAGTACATTATGATTATCCCATTATTATATCTTAAGCACAACACCTAAACCTTATTTTTGTATAGTGTGGCCTCATAATCAAGTGCATTTGAGTAGATAAATTTGTTTATTGAGCAATAACATTAAAAGCTGGACCAATCAGATATGACGTTACATCCAAATTAAATTATTATTCATTATTTTATGGGTTTTTTTTGCTATGATTCATGTAGGACTTGGAGAGCAGCAAGTGAATGGAATTTTAGCAGAGCTGAATATTCCAACAGTCAGCCATTCCATGTTGGATGAACGACAAAAAGAAATTGGAGGGGTAATTGAGAATGTTGCAGAGGAGTCTATTAAAGAGTGGATGACAAAAGAAATTGCTTTAACTAATGAGTAAGAAATGACAAGTTGAATGTTTTTAAAAAAAGAATGATACTGTATAAAAATAAATTTTATTCACACTTATATCACTGTACTTGGTGTATCATTGAAAAAATCAGGCAAGTACAATTGTGGTGTTATATGGAGTACCGATAAACAAAAAAATAGTATCTTTTGTTTATGATACTGACTTTATCTGAGTCTCTCCATTTGCACTTGTCCGGGTTGTAGACAGTATCAAAACAAAAGAAACTATTATTCTATAAATAATCTGTTAAAGAATGAATTCAATTTTTATACGACCGCAAAAAGAATTTTGCGGTCGTATATTGGTATGACATTGTCGTCGTCGTCGTCCGAAGACACATTGGTTTTCGCACTCTAACTTTAGTTTAAGTGAATGGATCTCTATGAAATTTTACCATAAGGTTCAATACCACAAAAGGAAAGTTGGGATTGATTTTGGGGGTTATGGTACCAACAGTTAAGGAATTAGGGGCCAAAAAGGGGCCAAAAATAAGCATTTTTGTAACTTCCAGACATAACTTGTGTGTTAGTGTATGGATCTCTCTGACATTGTACCACAAGGTTCCATATCACAAAGGGAATGCTGGGATTGATTTTGGGGGAAATTGCCTCAAAATTTTAGGAATTAGGGGTCAAAAAAGGGGCAAAAAACAAGCATTTTTCTAGTTTCATGACAATAACTTGTGTGTAAGTGTATGGATCTTTCTGAAATTGTACTACAAGGTTCCATATCACAAAGGAAAATCTGGGTTTGAGTTTGGGGGTAATTGTTCTAAACGTTTAGGAATTTAGGGCCAAAAAGGGGCCAAAAATAAGCATTTTTCTAGTTTCCAGACAATAACTTGTGTTCAAGTGTATGGATCTCTCTGAAATTGTACTGCAAGGTACCATACCACAAAGGGAAGGCTGGGATTGATTTTGGGGTAATTGGCTCAAAATTTTAGGAATTAGGGGCCAAAAAGGGGCAAAAAACAAGCATTTTTCTAGTTTCAGGACAATAACTTGTGTGTAAGTGAATGGATCTTAATGAAATTGTACTACAAGGTACCATATCACAAAGGGAAAGCTGGGTTTGAGTTCGGGGGTAATTGTTCTAAACGTTTAGGAATTTAGGGCCAAAAAGTGGCCAAAAAACAAGCATTTTTGTGTTCAAGTGTATGGATCTCTCTGAAATTGTACTGCAAGGTACCATACCACAAAGGGAAGGCTGGGATTGAGTTTTGGGGTGATGAATCATAAGGGGGTTCAAAACATTTTGGGGGAGGGATTTTTTTTTCCTTTTTTTTTCTTTAAAATTTTCCATTTTAAATTGGTTATTTCTGATTTATATATAAAAGCAAATAATAATGACATGGTTTGAATAGGTAAATTAAAAATTTATAAGTTCTTAGACCACATTCATTCTGTGTCAGAAACCTATGCTGTGTCAAATATTTAATCACAATCCAAATTCAGTGTATATCAAGCTTGAATTTTGTGTCCATAATTTCCCCAACTGTTCAGGGTTCGACCTCTGCGGTCGTATCAAGCTGCGCCCAGCTGAGCATTTTATTGTAATTTATTTCAATTACAATATCACACTTTAGTAACATAATTAAGAATGTTCACATGCTGACTATTTGATATTGCTAAACTGCCATTGGCTTTGTTTAAAATATATATATGGAATTATTTTCAGATGATTTTTCTTGAATATCATGTATCCCTGCTCTTAATTAATTGGACCAATTTTCAGGATTGTTATACTTTATACTTTTGTACATGTGTTAAACATGTATTTTTCTACTACAGATGTGATGGAACAGACGACCTGACTGTCTCAGTTGATGCTGGCTGGCAAACAAGAGGAAGCGGTAGAGCATACAACAGTCTGACTGGTAAATATTGACCAAAACAATGAGAGATATTTAAGTTTTTCCTGGATACAATATATGTATTACTTCTGTATTTATTTGACCTCGTGGGATGGAGTGTACCTTGACCTATAATGGTTTACTTTTATAAATTGTAACTTGGATGGAGAGTTGTCTCATTGGCACTCATACCACATCTTCCTATATCTATATAATTGTATAATTAGTAGTAATCTAGTTGTAAGTGTATAATATGGTCAGTAATGTCAAAAAGTAATGTTTCAAACTTAAGAATATACATACCATCCACCTCCCCCTAAACAAATAAGAATCACCTTGACATTCTTTCTGCCTGTTAATATTATTGCCAAAAGCAAAATTATTTGAGCATGAGACACACATATGTGGCATTAAGTTTTACCAATGACCGTCTGCCTTTCCGTCTGTCTGTCCCACTTTTGGGTTCCACAGGATAAAATGAGTTTGCACTGTTTTCAAATTTTAACACAATGTTTATTACTACCAAACACAGATCAATTTTGTATCTTTCACCTTTCTCAGTTTATGTCCCTTTTCCGTTTCACCAGCTGAGGCATTGTGTTCATAGAGACATTCTTATTTTATTTTACAGGGCATTGCTCCATGATTGATGCAAAGACTGGGAAGATTTTGAATTACAAGTGGAGGTCCAAGTCCTGCAGAATATGCCAGAAAGCTGAAAATGAGGGTAAGATAATAAGAAAGAATACCTGCAGAAAAAACTTTACTGGGAGCGCGAAGGCCATGGAACCTGACATGGTAGAAGAAATGGTTACCAACACAATAGAAAAGGGGGCAAAAATCACAGCCATAATTGGAGATGAAGATACCACCACTATTGCTAGACTTAGGGCTAAAGTTGATTCAAGAATAAAGAAACTCTCAGACAGCAACCACATTAAAAAAACCTTTTAGTTCCAGTTTATATGATTTAAGAAAAAAACATTCCTGCCTCTCTCAAAAAGTAATCAACTACCTCATTACATGCTTCAACTACTTAATAGCTAAAGGTAAAGGCAAACCAGAGGAAATTAAACAAAATTTAGATTCACTGTCAAAGCATCCCTTTGGAGACCACAGCGATTGCAACATCAGTTGGTGTAGATTTATTGAGGACTCTGGTCTGAAATATAGGTCATTGCCATATGGGAAACCCTTACATGACAAATCTTTTCAAACTTCACTTACAACTTTATTAGAGAAATACAGAAAAAATCCAGAAAATCTTGCTAATCTAGGAAGCACCCAAAGCAATGAGAGCTTTAACAAAAGTGTTGCCTCTAAAGCTCCAAAGAATAGGTTTTATGGTGGTTCTAGGAGTTTAGGCTACCGTATTGCTGCTGCCGTAGCACAGAAAAACAAGGGTCATCAATACACGGTAGATGTAAGAAAATTTGTTGCGCGTCAGTCAGATCCCACTTGGTCCGAGTACACAGTTATCGTCCTTTGATTTTCGTTGTCCACAAATATAGTCCCTAGTGTGGACAGTGTGTTACTTGCCAATTTTTTTTATACCCCTTCCAAATTTATTTCTCCATGTTTTATGCCTCAAATAGCAAGTAGGGGGATGAAATTACACTGTAAAAAAATTTGGGTCATGAATTTTAAAGTAAAGTAGTGATTTGGTCCAGCTAAAAAATGTTAAAAATAAGCACTTCGGAAGCTGTCAAAAGATTTCAAGACCCCCTTAACATAAAATTGTCCATATTTTGAGTTAGAGCCGATGAAGTTTTCTATAATTTTGATATAATTTGTCCCAAAAGTAGTACAACACACTGTAAAAATATTATTGAGAAAGCGCAGGTGGGATTTTTTTAATTTTCATTTATTGTCTAAAAGAAATGCACTACGAAATAACTGTGTACTTGGACCTAAGAGGTGAAATCAGGAAATATAGAATCTGTGCTTTGGCAACTTCCCTGAATGATTTGATGGTGTCAATTTGTCAAATAGCATGAAACTAAAGGATTTAAACTTTTATTTGATAGAATTTCTGCAAAAATGACCAATTTTGGCATTATATGGTCAAAATAAGCATTTCATAGCTTTTTCAATTTTGATGCATTCTGACTTTCTATCTGACAGGTTTTCATGTGTCAATATTTGTGTTTCTATGCTTTAATCCAGTTGTATTACTCATTTGTGAACTCTGAATCTACAGAAAAGAAGATTATCTCAGACAATATGTGCAAAATGTGTTGTATAAATGACCCTTGTCTAACGCCCTGTTTGGATCAAGTTAAATGTGAGGAGCTTGGTACATAAAAGTTGAAGTCCATAATAAAGACCTCACTAAATTTGTATAAAAAGCACTTAACAATGTCTTTTGTACCTGTTTCATTTCACATAATATCTTTCTTTTCTTCTGTAGGATAGCAAGTGGTTCAAATTTAAGCCTGTTGAGACTAAAATTGCCTGCAAGTTTTTCACTAAAAAGTGAAAAATCTTTGTATCAGACCATGCTGTCTGCAAAAAAAGTTGAATGCAAGAGTCTTTTTGTGCTCAGATTTATTGTATCATGTCACCTGAGTATAGAAATGATAGAAAAGACACACATTTTTATTTCCTATAGCTTCAATATGCATTTTTAAATGTAAATATGTGCTACGGCCTAAATTGACCCTAAATTATTTTCAGTCTTACTTGGCTTAAGACCCTTTTAAACTAATACGATATGTTATTTGTAAGTTTTCTTTCCATTTAAAGTACATTAAATACATATGTAAGGATTATTTATAACCAAAAAGCTTCACAAATTTAAAATTGCTGGAAAATATTACATCTTCATGTAAGGCCCCCCCTTCATTGGAAAACCTCCATTTTTAGGCAAAGGCTCATATAAATTTGACTTTTGAATAATGATGCTAAGTCTGATATATCAAATGAGTACTCTATTGCTTTTAATACATGGTATATTATATATTAAGGCATTTTAAAAGTATTTTTTTGCAATATTTTAATTTTAAAAGCCCCAAATGTTGATAGTTGAAATTTTTCAATTTTAACGTCAAAATTTAACACGCAAAGTTGAATATAGAATTTATCATATTGTCTATAATATATATCTTATTGCCATGAAAGTTTGTAAGCAGTCTTATAATTTATTAAGCTTTAGTCATACCAAGTTTTATTAGGATTGGTCAACTTTTTCTATCCTATTAGGTCCGAGTACACAGTTATCGTCCTTTAATTTTCGTTGTCCACAAATATAGTCCCTAGTGTGGACAGTGTGTTACTTGCCAATTTTTTTTATACCCCTTCCAAATTTATTTCTCCATGTTTTATGCCTCAAATAGCAAGTAGGGGGATGAAATTACACTGTAAAAAAATTTGGGTCATGAATTTTAAAGTAAAGTAGTGATTTGGTCCAGCTAAAAAATGTTAAAAATAAGCACTTCGGAAGCTGTCAAAAGATTTCAAGACCCCCTTAACATAAAATTATCCATATTTTGAGTTAGAGCCGATGAAGTTTTCTATAATTTTGATATAATTTGTCCCAAAAGTAGTACAAAACACTGTAAAAATATTATTGAGAAAGCGCAGGTGGGATTTTTTTAATTTTCATTTATTGTCTAAAAGAAATGCACTACGAAATAACTGTGTACTGGGACCACTTATACAAATAAATATTTTTTTATTGGGTTTAAAACAAAGTGTTATTTATTTGTCAGAACAAGTAATCAAAGGATAGATAACTAGTATTTTACCAATTTTGTTTACTTCTGAGAGTAAAAAAATGTTTATGTACAAATGGGATATCTGACTGCCTGTTCAGTTTTATGATTCACAAATTACATGTTTTCAGTTAATTTGTTATACTAGTACACTGTTACAAATTTGAGATACCGAATTGCATGGTGTGGTATTTTATATACATATACCGTATAGCGGGTTATTTTCGCGGGTGTAAAATTTCGCGATTTAGGGGCAACAAAGTATACGAAAAATTTTGGCGGTTTTTATTTTGGTGGATTCTTAAATCCCAATTAAATATTTTGGCGGATACTGAAATTGTTGCATATAAAATATTGAAAAATTAAGAAGCAAGTTAATTGATTTGTTTACCTAAATGACGTCTTATTTATTGATTTTGACCGGAACTTTGATGTACTCACTAATTAGGTTATAAAATTATCAAGACTGATTTACAACTCTTATGCAATTTGACACTAATTAATAAGGGTATTTACCTGATAGAGTACCCTACTCATAATCTAATTTTGACACTAATTGATAAGGATATACACACGTGACAGTCATTTTATAAAATACATGTATGTTTAATGCCCTTTTTGTTTATGTTGTTAAAAATAACCTATACCGTTATTGACCTACCAACCGACACTTTAGCTATTAGAAAGTAACAAAAGTATGCATTAATTTTCGCGGAATTTATTTTCGCGATTTTCTTTCATCTGCCAAAATAAGCGAAAATAAACACCCCGCGAAAATAACCCGCTATAAGGTAATCCCTTTTTGAGGGAAAGATTTATTTTAACCATTTAAGTGAAAAAAGTCTTGAAATAATTTTAATCCAAAAAAAGGGCTGTTCCAAATATTTAACTTGTGGTGGAGGGTGAAGGCTGCACTCAAAACAATTAATTTTTGGTGGCTGTGTTTTCCTAAGAATTATGTAAGAATTGTATGTGAAATTAAAAAAATATTTCATGGTTGTGTGGGGTCTTAATAAAGTGCCCCCCTTATACCCCCAACCACACACACCTATGTGTTTAATTCTGGAACAGCCCTAAGGAAAAATGACAGTATATCCATAAATGATAATGCCAAATAATTAGAATGGAGAACACAGAATTTATTGCTTTCTGTCTATTTTATAATTAACAGCCACATTTCTTTTTTTTTTAGAGACATACAGTATATAAGTGTGCATGTATAGTGAAACAACTTTGTATTTAGTAGGTTTGTGATCTTCTGGAATCAAATGTAAAACCTGCATTATTTTGAGAATCAAAATTACTTTTGTACTTATTTCTTTAATATCATTTTCATTGCAGGTAAATGTATCAACAGGTCTATCTCCTGGGATATATACCCAGAAGTTAGCTACCCTCAGAGATCTTCAGGCTGGAAAGAGGAGAGCTGTTGCCACTACCAAAACAGCAAAATTACGCAGAATTACGTTAAAATCAAGCAGGTAAATAACATTGATTCCTGTAATCTCCTTAGCAGTTCATAAGCCTTCACATTCTTTAGCAGACTGCCTAGTGTTATTTTAAGCTCACCTGGCCCATTGGGCCAAGTGAGCTTTTGTCATCACTTGGTGTCCGTTAACTTTTACAAAAATCTTCTCCTCTGAAACTACTGGGCCAAATTTAACCAAACTTGGCCACAATAATTATTGGGGTATCTTGTTTAAAAAAGTGTGTCCGATGACCCCACCTGCTAACCAACATGGCCCCCCATGGCTAAAAATAGAACATGGGTAAAAATGCAAGTTTTGTCTATTACTTTGAAAACCTTTATGAATAGAGAAAATTTGACTGAGCAAAAATGTTAAGAATGTTGAGCTCTACCAATTGTCCATATACGTCAAAATTGTCAGATGACTTCTTTTAGGAGTTATTGCCCTTACAGAGAAACATTAAATAGCAAAAATGATTAGCAAGATAAGTTCTACAACTAGTTAGCATTGTTGAAATCGTTAGCCGACTCCTTATTAGAGTTATTGCTCTTTGATGATGATTTTTACCATTTTCTTTGCATTTTTGACTTATATCTTAAAAATTATTATAGACAGATAGAAACTTAAATGAGCAAAAATGATCAGCAAGGCAAGATCTACAATTAAGACAATGTAGAGGAAATCGGCTGACGTCGCCTTGGAGTTATTGCCCTTTAATGAGGATTTTTATCATTTTTGGGGGGTTTTGCCTTACATGATAAAAATTATAATAGATGAATAGACACTTTAATCACAAAAATAATCAGCAAGGCAAGATCTAACAAGTCACATTTCACTGATATAGGTAGTAGGCTGTCACTTTTTATAGGAGTGACTGCCAAGCCCCTTAAATAAGGATTTTTTTTACCCTCTTTTATGTTTTGAGCAAAAACTAAAGAAGACAGAGAAAAACTAAACAGAGTAAATGATCAGCAATACAAGATCAACAAAACAGATTTTTGTCATGAATTCAATTCTCATCTACAATGTAGGAGAGTGTCCTTTGTTGAATATCCACAAGGACCAAGGGGAGCAACACAGGCTCTTTAGAGCCTATAGTTCATGTTGATACGGACTTGCATTTCAGGCTCTAAAAATTTTAAAGGGAAGTAATGTAATTGTGACCAGACTTACAACTTATTTACTAATAACTCTCTTATGGAAGAGAAGTCGAATAGCAGTGTAACAAACTACTATGAAAATATATCGTAGACATTCAGCTACCATATTTTAAAATGAGTCACCTCTAGGTCTTCAATACAATGTAAACCAACATCTAACAACAAGCTCAAATAGCCCGGATGACACAAACATTCAGTGCAAAAACCAGCAGAGCATCAAACAATGCAATTCATATTTTAAAAATTAACCATACGTTTTTCTTTGAATTTAAGGACTCAGAAAACATCTGCATGTGAAGTTAGAAAAGGAACAACTTATGAATCAAATGCAGCCCTTTGTGATTTGAAGGAAGAAGACATAAACGAAATACCACCTCTATCATCCAAACCTGAAAACAATGCCATGTGCCTGGAAGATGCAACAGAATATACTAAAATATATTTTGATATTGAAGCTACAGGTCTCAGTAAGTTTTTAGCCATCACATTGCATCTGTCATTTGTTGTGAGTTGGCTGTTTGCATCATATGCATTTTAAGATTTTTATTCCCCTGCTGTAGGCGTGGGGAGCATTAAGTGTTACCCATGTCCATCCAACCGTCCGTATCTTACTCTTTTGGTTACTGCAGGCTAACTTGAGTGTGCAATGACCAAATGTTGGGGGCATCAGTGTTCGCATGTACATTCTTCTTTTATTTTTTCCTAATCTGATCTTCCTTCCTGCGAATGTTTTTACTTTTTTACAGTATTTGATTTGAATACTGCTGATTATTACCATCTTGAAAACTAAATCAATTTGAAGTTAGGACTAAAAAAAAAAGAAATTATATTTTACACTTTGTAAAATACAGATATATTTTTATTATACAAGACAGTTGCTACAGTAACACGTATTTGCTCTTTATTTAATTTGTAAGTACTAACAAATTCACTTTGGGTTTGTTTGTTATTACTTTGAAATCAATATTCAAGTTGATATGCAGCAATATTCAACTCACTCATTATGAAACCTATAAATATGATTTCAGGTCCATTTGACACATATTTCCTGTTTACCACAGAGTTTTTTATATACAGTGGTCATGTTCTAGAATATTAAAGGTTGGGAGCAGGGTTATCAGATATAAGCATTAGCTTATTGATTTTATTGTTGTTTACTAATTTAAAGACAAGAAATTAATCATCTTAATTGTTAAAATTTATTCTTTAATTATTTTACAGGTTCAAGATTTGAAAACAATATTTTAGGATTTGTTGATACTTTGAAATTGTTTAAAAATGTGTATCCAGGTCTGAATTCATATTCTCAGTCTAAATTATGTCAAACACTTCTGGATTTTACATATGGTGCTCACAATGCTGAGGAAGATGTTACTGCATTGCAAAAGCTTGTCAATGAAAAAGTTAATAATACAAGTCAAATGAAAACTGCTTTTCATTCAAAAAATTGTATTTTGAATCAATATTCTTGTTTGAAAAAACTGCATCAAAATTTTCCATCATTGAAATTACTTATAGATTCTAAAGTCATTACCTTGAGAACAGCCACTGTCATAGCTAAGAGTGGGCTTAATTTCTATCATTTAAAGTTAACTTTTACAAGAAATGGTAGATCTGGAATCAAATATATTTTCACAGAAAAGTGCAGATTATCTGTAAGAGTTACAAAATCAGCTAAGATTATTTCAAGTGTATCAGATTTTTTTGAAAAAATGTAAAGAGGAACTTGTGTATTATTGTTTATAGTGTTTGATAACATTTTTTGAGGGAATTTGATGTTTGCTATACCACTGTTCATTTCAACGCACTTTATGACAATACCACTATATCAATCAGAATGAAATTTTTTGTAGTGTTTTAAGAAATGATATTACTTTGAAATCATGTATTATTTGTGAAACATTATATGTTTAAAAAGGACAAATTTTCTGTATAAAGTCAATAATTATGTAGACTTTTGAAGCCCAAACTTTTTATTGCCTTAAATAAGCAAATGAAAGATCCGAAAATTATACCAATAGAAAACGACGTGTTTTTGAAATTATAGATAAACTTTTGGTTGGCAAATTTTTATTCGTTATTGCATGAATATTAACTTAAAATATCTGTCATTTTCTCCCTACCCAGTTTACCCCTATTACTTATTATGATGTGGACCGCGCATTGTTATTGAATCTTATGGAATTTGATTGGATCAAGTTATCATTCAAACTGTTTATGCTTTTCATACGAGTATATTAATTAAATCAGACCGTGCATGAATGTGTACAGTAACTTAAATGACCTTCAAACTGGACGAGTCCATATTACGTTTTATCAATGAAACTAAAGGTATGAAAGGTAAGAATTGCCCCTTCTTATATTTTCACAAAATTTTACACAAACAAATTAGATAAATTATTTTTATTGCGGAGAAAGGAGAGAAAGTTTACTAATAAGACGTTTTATTTCATTAAACAAGTCATTTTTCGAAGAGAAATGCCGAAATACATTTAACGCACGGCTACGCTAGGTAAAATTATTGTTTTTCTTAACAAAAAAAAACATTTTTCAGTCTAATTGGAATTTTATTATTACAATTTATCCCAAACTTAGGTAGTCAGTAAATAAAGTAAAAATATGTCTGATCTGCCTTTTTTTGGACATCAAAAGTCAGTACGATAGTATCAAGGTCAATTTCGCCTACCTCACACAATCTTGTAAACTGCGATGAAAGTCGGGGATAGGGAGACATAAGGAATGCTTCTCCGGAGGTGTACATGTCAGTAAGACACCTTTCACCCGACCCTGACCACATTTTCATGGTCTACTGACCAGATTAAGTTATTGTGATAAGTTCTGTTTATTATTAACTATACAGGGTAGGTCAATGATATTTGATCTATGGAATCATTTGAAGGTGAACATTTCAGTCTGACACCTGTAACTGACCCTGACCTAATTTTTATGGTCCACTGACCAGGTTAAGTTTTTGTGATTAGGTCTGTTTCTCAGTAACTATACATGATAGGTCAATGATACTTAAGTCTATGGATTCATCCAAATGTGTACTCGTCAGTCTGACACCTGTCACCCAACCCTGACCTCATTTTCATGGTCCACTGACCAGGTTAAAATTTTTTGATTAGGTCTGTTTCTCATTAACTCTTCATGGTAGGTCAATGATATTTGGTCTATATATTCATTTGAAGGTTCACATGTCTGTCTGACACCTGTCACCTGACCCGACCTCAAATTCACAATCCATTGATCATGTTAAATTTTCATGAATTTTCAATATTGAGATACTATAAGCAATAGATTTTTCATATTAGGTGTATGGAATTAATTAAACAGGCGAGAAATTTCAGCTTATGCACTCTTGTGAATCAAATGTTATGAAACTTATACACAATGCTTATTACCACAAAATACAGATCAAGTTTGATTATTTGTGGTGTCACTTTTACTGTTCTAGAGTTATGCCCCTTTACAAAAGGAAAAATTGCTGAATTTTTTGTTTCTTTTCTCTAACTTAAGTTTGCCTCAACCAAATGTTATGAAACTTATACACAATACTTATTACTACAAAACTCAGATCAATAACAAATTTGGATAGCGTCACTTTTACCGTTCTTCAGTTATGTAGATATAAGAAGATGTGATATGAGTGCCAATGAGACAACTCTCCATACAAGTCAAAATTTATAAAAGTAAACCTATATAGGTCAAAGTACAGTCTTCAACACAGAACCTTGGCTCACACCGAACAGCAAGCTATAAAGGGCCCCTAAAAATTACTAGTGTAAAACCATTCAAACGGGAAAACCAACTCCCTTTATAACTTTATATGATATGCAACGGGGGCATCATCTGTGTCCCATGGACACATTCCCCATTTATGTGTGTTGTTTTGAGTTCTAGCTAAAAAAATAGCACATGATGATCTATTCTTCTTATTTAGATTTAAGGAGAAATGCATGAGAAAGATTTTCTGAAAATTTTGTGAAATTGTATTTATAAAAAAAAGGTTTATTTTAAGAAAATAGAGAAAAATCAGGCATTTTCCCGTACTTTTTGGGGTTTTTGGGGTCTAGCTAAAAATAAAGCGCATGACGATATATTTTTTTTTCTCGGAAATTAAGGACAAATATTTGAGAAAGATTTTCTGAAAATATTGTGAAGAATTGAAGATGTATTTATAACAAAGAGGTTTATTTTTAAAAAAATAACAAGAAATCATGTGGTTCCCGTACTTTTTCAAATTTTAACTAAACTGATAAAATAACTTAATTTGTTTGAATGATTATATAAAAAAAATATTGCAAAATGTAAGACTGATGTGTATTCTACTTGTTTTGCCATCAATAAAAATATTTGAACACTGTAAATGTATTGTGCATCTTTTTTTTTATACAGAACCTGTTTCTCTAGCTTTTCACCACTCTGAGAAAAATGCCATATATGGGTTCATTTGAAATGAGTATACCGGAAAAAAAATTCGCATGAACCCATATTTTTTTTAACATTTTTTTGAAATCTATCTATACTGAATGTAAAAATCATGAAAAAGAATGATTCTATTTATTTTTAGTTTGAGCAGCAATCATCCTTAAACAATTTTTGGAATTATAATACATGTTCTAAAAAAATATGGTAGAAATAATTCACATCAGGATGCCAGATTTTTCATATAGTGCTGCTTACTTTATTTTGTGTGTTATATTATATTTATTAAATATTTTCACATTTTGTTTTCAGACACATTTTTTTAATGCGGCAACAGGACTTTGGGATTTCCCAAGTTTGAGTGAGCACAGACCCAAGGAGGAGGATGATCCAGCCTTACAACGAGCAATTAAAAAAAGATTAGCTGTATTTGATGGTGCAGAAGGAATTGTTCGAGACACTAAAGGGTATTTGACCGGAAACAATCCACTTGTACTCTTTCCTCCTGTACTAGAAGATGGATGTCTTTGTGGGGTAATTTTTTTTTCTCCGTATTAAATTTCTACTACAAAATTCTGCCCTAAATGGCGCAAATTTTATTAGTGCAAAATATAACAAAATTGGAAAACAAAGGATATTGGGTATCCATCCATGACACAAAATCAGTACATGCACAGCAAAAAAACACAAAAAGCAAAGGAACAGTGCTGTTATTGCTGTTCTTCATCTGAAAGTCACAGTGAGGCCTTCAACACAAAGAAAAAAATAACAAAAAAATATCACCTCAATGCAAGTTTAAGATTGCCCCTAGCACTGGCTTTAGAGAAATTCTTTGCAAAAATAATTAATAGACTTTGTAAGTTGTAACACAACCTAATCAGTCCTGGTCAAAAAAGGACATACTGGAAAGTAGTACATATTTAAAACAAAATAGTTTCTACGGAGAAGGGTAAAACTTAAACTATGTAGCATATATTTTAGGAATTAAGGAATCAGATGAAAGGTGAAGGACTGGTGATCCTTGTAGAACACACAATTTACTGATAATTTTGAATAATACAAAAATGTATGAATGATTTTTGAAATTGAGGGCATGTATAGACTGTTTCTCAGATATAAAGTGCCTGGTTTGGTGTATCCAAAATTCTGGTAACCAGTGCAGTATGTCTGATTTGTATTTGTAATAAAGACAGACTAGATGTACATTATTGTTTAAGAGTATCTTAACTAACTCAGCTTGTTTTGCAAGATATTTACATGTTATTTAGATTTTAGAATGAAATATCTCGCCAGATTATTTTATAGCTAATGAGTTGCATTGTAAAAATTAGTAACCAACAGTTTATTAAATTGAAACTTTGTCAGTTTTAAAATAAAAAATCTAAAATGTCAGATTGCATGAATATCTCAACATTTTATATTTTTAATTTTTCTGCTTATGGTTTTCATGTCTGATACAATGAATTCTGAAAAATTAATGACAATGCTAAAAAGTAAGATTATACATTTTATTTTATGCTTTTAATTAAAGGCTGGCTACTCTGATGATGACCATCCAAATGGGGTATTGACCGATGTGAAGTACAGGACAGTGGTGTATTTGACTAACGGACCAGCTAGATTTGAAGTGAGAATGCTTTCTAAGTCTTGAACTATTTAAAATTTTAAGAACTATGTGCGCTTTATTTCTTTTTAATTATAAACTAATTTAATGAAATGAAAAAGACCAGGATCTTCTTGACAACTTTAAACTGATGTAGATACTACAATTTTGAATGTCATTTGGTAATTTGCCTATTTCATTGTTATTATACCCAACGCAACGAGTTGCGGAGGGTATAATGTTTTTGACCCGTCCGTCCGTCTGTCCGTCCGTCTGTCTGTCAGTCCGTCAGTCCGTCAGTCCTATTTCTTGTCATCGCAACTCCTCTCAAACCACACAACAAAATTTCACGAAACCTTTTTAGATAATAAGGACATACTATGTAGTTGTGCATATCAACAGGAAATTACGATTCAATTTTTTTTCTAGGAGTTACGCCCCTTTGAACTTATTTACTTTAATGTACTACTGCAACCTTTTGTCATCGCAACTCCTCTCAAACCACACAACAGAATTTCATGAAACCTTTTCAGATAATAAGGACATACAACGTAGATGTGCATATCGACAGGAAATTACGATTCAATTTTTTTTCCAGGATTTACACCCCTTTGAACTTATTTGCCCAATATACTACTGCAACCTTTTGTCATCGCAACTCCTCTCAAACCACACAACAGAATTTCATGAAACTGTGTAGATAATAAGGACATACTATGTAGATGTGCATATTGACAGGAAATTATGATTCAATTTTTTTTTCTGATACAATTTTTTTTTCTTACACTTATTTTATTTCTCCAATGACAAAGTGGGGACGTTGGGTATGTGAGGGCGCTCACTAAGGTTCTTTAATTAAGTCTCCCAAACGAAGTTTGGGAAGACTTATTGTTTTTGCTCCGTTCTTATTATTATTCTTCTTCTTCTTCTTCTTCTTCTTCTTCCTCTTCCGCCGCTTTTAAATTTGAACTTGTCCGCACCCGTTCTCCAAAACCGCTTGTCAGATTAACTTAGGGTTTCACAATATGTTAGACTAACATGTCTAGTGGTGCAATCAGGGTTTTGTTTGTGCAATGGGGTTTATAAAGGGGTACTTTGAGGGGCAAAAAGAAAAGAGGGTTTTACTATAGAACCCTATGGGATTTTATTTTTTTAAATTTTCAAATGATTAAGAATTGAAAACCGTTTGTGATAGACACAATCTTTTTAATTGAAAATGTTCTAAATGATAAAGCCCATTAAATGAAATACAGGGTTAGTCCCCAGGGGTCACCCCAACCCCCTGCCATTTAAGAAAGTTCTAATACCTTGTAAGTGGTCAAGATCCCCACCCCTAAACCATATATATTTTGGTTTGTTATGCTAAGATGGTTTGAATGATATACAGGGTTAGTCCCCAGGGGTCATCCCGACCCCCTGCCATTTGAGAAAGTTCTAGTATCTTGTAAATGGTCGAGATCCCCACCCCTAAACCATATATATTCTGGTTTGTCATGATAAAGCACATCAAATGTAATACACGGTTAGTCCCCAGGGGTCACCCCCACCCCCTGCCATTTAAGAAAGTTCTAATATTTTCTAAGTGGTCAAGATCCCCACCCCTAAATCATATATATTCTGGTTTGTCATGCTAAGATGGTTTGAATGGTATACAGGGTTAGTCCCCAGGGGTCATCCCGACCCCCTGCCATTTGAGAAAGTTCTAATATCTTGTAAATGGTCGAGATCCCCACCCCTAAACCATATATATTCTGGTTTGTCATGATAAAGCACATCAAATGAAATACAGGGTTAGTCCCCAGGGGTCACCCCCACCCCCTGCCATTTAAGAAAGTTCTAATATCTTCTAAGTGGTCAAGATCCCCACCCCTAAACCATATATATTCTGGTTTGTCATGCTAAGATGGTTTGAATGATATACAGGGTTAGTCCCCAGGGGTCATCCCGACCCCCTGCCATTTGAGAAAGTTCTAATATCTTGTAAATGGTTGAGATCCCCACCCCTTAACCATATATATTTCTATTTGTCATGTCTCGAACATTTGAATGACGTTTACGGTCAGTCCCCAGGGGTTCCCCCCACCCCCAATGTTCTAATATCTTGTAAATGGTTGAGATCCCCACCCGTAAACCATATATATTCCTGTTCGTCATGTAATGAACATTTGAATGATGTATAGGGCCAGTCCCCAGGGGTTCCTCCCTACCCCCAATGTTCAAGTATCTTGCAAATGGTCGAGATCCCCACCCCTAAACCATATATATTCTGGTTTGTCATGTCAAGATGATTTGAATGATATACAAGGTTAGTCCCCAGGCATCACTAATGCATATAACTTAACTGGACCAAACCATTTTTCACTGGACGTTGCCCAATGTCAGGCGACCCTGGGAATTACGAATTATGGGAGCTTCGTTTGGGAGACTTCATAACAGCATCCTGTTACAATCATTTCTTGCTCCTAATATCATTCATATCATTGATGAGACAAACATTTACCAGTGCATATAAAGTGAGGTTATTAATTTCTCTATTTTCAAATTCTAGTGTGGGCCCTATACAAAGTCATTAAAAATTGATTTATTCTGTTTTAAAGTGTAGTATAAATAAATGTGTAGTGTGCAGAATGTCCTACAAAATTGTATTTTAAAAATACTAATTTATCTGACAAAATGCTCCTGCCAATACATTCCAAGAAATATTTTATATAACCCTAACCTATATAAATTCACTATTTCTTTTATGCATTAATTAGTATGAACATAGTTATATCAAAAGTTATAATATTTCATTTAAAATAGTATATTTTCTACTCAACTGATTTAAAAATATTATACAGATACATTGTACTTGAATTCCCTGATGAATCAGAAACAGATTATATCGATATTATGGCTTAAAATTTGTAGAAGAAAAATGCAATTTGCTTTTCATCTTTTTCAGGTATTTGGTAGGAATTGCTTGGCAGGAAATGCAGACTGCCAAGTTCAATATGTTGGATCTTCAGACAGCCTCCATTTTCTTTCAAAGGAAACTGCTGCAGGAGATGAGATTGGCTGGGATTTTGTAGATCATGCATTGAACTCTCATGTCACTTTCAGTGCATATTGCAAAATCATGAGCAAAAAATACAGGAGAAATTTTCTTAATTCAGCTAAATTTATGTCCCCTCAAACATTCATTACTTGGTGGTTTTCATGGAGTAGTAAATTTAAGACTGATTTCAGAAAGCCTTGCTCTATCTGCAAATACAACCCAAAATTCTTAGCATGTGATGGCACTAAAATTGGTATTAGCTTTAAAAATGCAGATACAGATCCAATAGAAAAACCAACTTCAACAGAAAAAGTTGACCCATGTCATAGAAGAAATGATCGTTGTTTCTTTAATTTCAACAGCCAAGAACAACAGGATGGTATTATAAGAAAATGCAGAGATCACCTTGCATACACATCAAAAAAAGCACTTGGACAATTAAATCAGGCATTAGAATTTGAAGAAGAACTCAATAGAAATACACTCCTTATTAGTCCCCTACTGACGAAGTCAAAGGGGACTTTAGGTTTGCACTCTGTCCGTCTGTCCGTCCGTCTGTCCATCCGTCAATCCAGCAAATCAGCTTTCCACACTTTTTTTCTTCGTTCTTGAAGATATTGTTTGATATTTGGTATATAAGTTTTGCCATGACAAGTTATAGATCAAGTTCGAATTTTGTTCCTGTCTGATGATTTAGTCCAGAGTTATGGACCATAACTCTGGACCATATCTAATGTTAGAGTACTATGTTAAACCATATTTCTGTATAAAGGGAGATAACTCATTTTTTAAAAGACATTCTTTGGTTAATTATTTGAAGAATTTTTTGGCAGGTTTGATTGTTATTTTGTATAAACTAATTTTCTGAATGCTATATATATATAAAAAAAATTATGAAGTGAAATCCTTTAATTAGATAATAATCTATTTTTATTAATTACAAACGAAAGTGAACCAACGCCTGGTGAGTCTGTAGTGAGTTAGAGTCCCTGAAGTGGATACCTCGGGTATGCAGGGTCGTTATGATGAAACACAATAATGTAGAAAGTCTTATAACAACAACACTGGAGGGACTGCTGCAGAAAATTTATTGATCGACATGTTTCGGTGCCTAGGGCACCGTCATCAGGATACAAATAATACATTGAACATACTTAAGTGTACAATCGGGTTGTCTTGTGACAACGTCATAGTATAGTAGTTGTTATGAAAGGGAGGTAATAGTGAAAGTATAAATAGAAAATGTATATAAATAGATTGTCAACATGAAAATGAAAGTAAATTAAAATTGTTTGTATATCAACTCTGTGTTATTATTGTCTCAGCTAAAAATGTTATAAATAGAATGTACAAACACATGTCTGTCCCATAGTTCTTCCGGTAGCTCATCTAAACATATGGTTTCATCACTGCTGCTTGTTGTCAGGTCTATGTAGTCTTCCTGAGTAAGGTCCATGACATAACCGTAATCGTTTGTTATGTATTGCGGAGTGTTATTTAAAGAAGAGTCGGAATCCGACAGGTACAGGTCTTGTTCCAAATCACTTGTTGAGGGTTTTTTCGGTTTTGAGGTGGATGATTGGTGATACTCATACGGTGATTTAGCTGGTATTGTCCTGAATGTAGGTGTTTTCCCGTTCCATTCTTTTTTCTGTACGGCTTCAAATGGTGGTCTCCATTTTTCTATTGCTTTGGCCATTTCACGAGGATTTTGTTGGAAGCTATTATAATCTTCTCTGGCTTTATCTGGGTGTTTTGATTTAAGGTGTGTTACGGCATTTGATTTTCTAGTGAAGGTTGCAACACAATGTTTGCATTCAAACATTGTTGCGACTGGTTCGTGGCGTTCCTTATGGTGTCTTCGTAAAGTAGAAATACTGCAGAAAGTTTTCGGGCATTTTTTGCAATTAAATCGTCTTGTGAAAGTTCCTGTAGTTTCTTTTCTTTTGGTAATCTTCGTATTAGCCATATCGTCTGTTAAGGCCCCAGGGTTCGGTGCTTCCAAATTTATGTATAAGAGCTTCTTCCGTTCTTAGTCTGACGTTTATGTTTTGTTCTGTGGTTGTTATGCCTGTTATGGTGACGTCGTGTTTATTGTGACCATTTGAGGTGAAGTGTTTCGAGACTGGTTTTGTATTATTCTCAGTGTTGATGTCCTGTAGATGTCCCCTGAATCTTTCTTTTAGGCTATTTCCCGTTTGACCAATGTATTGTTTTTTGCATTGTTTGCATTCTATTAAATACACCACACTTTCTGTGTTGCATGTAATTTCGTGTTTAATATCTATTTGGTAACTGTTTACGGTACTTTTTGCACTTTCTGCGGTTTTCATTAATCTACAGAGATAGCAATTCTTTCCGCAAGGGTGGCTACCCTTACGGGTTTGTTTGCGTACAATTTCGGTTTTTACTAGTATTTGTTTGATTGATAAGGCTCGTCTATATGAAACAATGAGTTTTTGTTTCGCGAGGGTTTGAGTTTCAGGAGTTTTTTTGAGGATATCTTTCCTCTGGTTGATGGTTCCGTTAAGATTTTTTATTTTTGGATGGTAGTTGATTACTAATGGAATCATATCTGGCTTCACGGGTTGGTCAGTTTCCTTTGGTTTTAACAAATCATTTCGATTTAACATATACGCAATACATAACAAACGATTACGGTTATGTCATGGACCTTACTCAGGAAGACTACATAGACCTGACAACAAGCAGCAGTGATGAAACCATATGTTTAGATGAGCTACCGGAAGAACTATGGGACAGACATGTGTTTGTACATTCTATTTATAACATTTTTAGCTGAGACAATAATAACACAGAGTTGATATACAAACAATTTTAATTTACTTTCATTTTCATGTTGACAATCTATTTATATACATTTTCTATTTATACTTTCACTATTACCTCCCTTTCATAACAACTACTATACTATGACGTTGTCACAAGACAACCCGATTGTACACTTAAGTATGTTCAATGTATTATTTGTATCCTGATGACGGTGCCCTAGGCACCGAAACATGTCGATCAATAAATTTTCTGCAGCAGTCCCTCCAGTGTTGTTGTTATAAGACTTTCTCTATTTTTATTAATGTATATATTACATTACATTGTGTAGATAAAAATTGTTGACATTTTATAGATAAGTTACAAATCTATATTAGTTTGTGAAAAATAAAAGAAAAAATATTTGGAACTACATGTATTAATTATATTTGATTATAATTTGAAAATAGATATACACTGTATTACATCATATCTAATTTTAGAGAACTATTAATCATATCTAATGTTAAAGTGCTTTCCACACTTTTTTTCATCATGCTTGAAGATATTGATTGATAATTGGTATATAGTTTTTTAATGACAAGTTATACAGATCAAGTTCGAAATTTTGTTTCGGTTTGATAATTTTGTGCAGAGTTATGGTCCTTGGACTTGAAAAATTCACTCATTTAATCAGTTTTCCACACTGTTTTAGTCATGCTTGAAGATATTGACTTGATATTTTCTTTTTGTTTACACCATGACAAGTTATAGAACAAGTTAGCTTTTTGTTCCAGTATAATGAATTTTTACCCGGTAGGGGACTATGTATTGCCATGCAATACTCTCAGAATGCTTGTTGAAACAGTTTCTCATCAGTGTTCCGACATCATGCGCAGATTTGTATGTAATAAGTATCCTGAGTCTGTACAGAAGAAATTAGCAGTCATATTCAAGTTTTTGTCAACAAATCATTCTTTGTCATCATTAATTCCTTTTCGCTACACAGATCTTTTGGATTCGATTTTGTTGGAATTGAGAACATCCACACAAAACCACAGAATAAATTTGATATCTGATTTTTCTCCTGAAATTCGTGATACTTTATATGCTGCTTTGCCTTATGAACAGTCACTTTCTGATGTTATTTCTTTATTTCAGTATCTAGTCTTAAGAATTCAACATATAACGAAAAGAATAAAGGGTCAGCCATCTTCGTACAATCCTGAAAGATATGGTCCAGCCTTCTACTTTATACCCAGTGGAGAGAAGCTTAGAGACATTCCAATTTATACCATGAATGAAAGTGCACATTCAAAGAATTATGATGACCTATCTGATGAGCAGTGTAATAAGATATATCCTGAGGTCTCCAGACGTGGTACTACCTACTTATTTCTTTGGTTTGACCCTAAGCACTATGGTCATTGTTATGGTTTTCATATCATTCCAGGATCTGAAGGGAGGAAAGACCCTTTCTCTTCTGCCTATTCATACTTATAACATGCTCCAGAAGAGGTATTTTCTGATTTTACATGTCAGTTTGAGGAGTACTGTTTGAACAGGGAACCTGGTTTCTGGGAGAATACACGATTTTGGCACGATTTATTTCATGGTTACAGTCACAAATGTCCTTTCTGCTACAAGTCCCAGAGAATTTGTCCATTGCAGGGCTTGAACACAGAGATATGTGAGCATTTCAACTCATTCATCCACAAAATCAAATATTCTGCCAGATCTATTTCACCTTCAATTCATGATTCATCAGTGGTGTGAAATGAAACGCTCGTCATTTGAACAGAGCTGCATATTTAGCCTGAATTGACGACAACAAAAAAACAACATTAGATACACCTAATCTGGTAATTTATAAAAGTTTGTTTTTTCATTGAATTCCGACAATATCAAAATAATGAGATTTGGTATGATTGCCAATGCGGCAACTATCAACCAAAGTCCAAGAGAAGTGGATGTTAGCAATTATAGTCCACCATATGGCCTTCAACAATAAGAAAAAGTACATTCTATGGTGTGAACAAAAAGTATATAGTAAGGGCATTTTCATTCATGGCATATTGGTTTGTTAGCAGTAAGGATATACAAAAGGTAATCTAGAAAAGTATGTTGTCATAATAAAGAATTATTTTCAAATAAATATGAGAGAAAAATTCTCTTTTGTATAATATGCATCACTGAAGTGTTCAATTAAATGGGGATGATTACAGGATGATTCTTCAAATATAATGTGACAAAGATCCATCCGTATCAATTTTGAGATCAGTTTGTTGAATAAAGGTCAAAATTTAAAAAAAAAAAAGATGATGCTTCCCAATAAATTAAGAATTTCCAAAGTTTTCTGACAGAAATTTGAATATATAGCAATATGGTGTATCAGTCAATGATGGACACCTAACAACACAAAAAAAAACTAAGAGAAAAAATAAAGTACTGTTAATCTCTTCATGATTGCATCATAATGTTTAATGAAGAAAATTGTTCATGGTTTGACCTAAACCTGTGTTTTGATGTTGAGTGGCTTAAATAATTTTCATTTTAAATGTGTACTGGCTCTGTTGTTTGGTCTTTTTTTCAGGTCAGAAGAACCAGAGAATTATCAATGAATTCTTAAAGGTATATAAATTGATATATTCATCAAAGTCTTTTCAAATGTGTACAGATTTACAGTATATTACTATAAATAAAAAAGCAAGAACTTTTTATGATTGCTGTATTGTCTGTGGCTTTCATCCATCTTGGACTTGTCAAGACCATCATGTCTTAACATTAATTTAGATTAAGATATCCGAACTTTCCTAGAATATGCATGGTTTATGTACCTGTACTCTAATTTATTTAATTACTTGTTTAGTTATACATATATTTTATAATACATGTATATATAATAAAGGCATAAATTTTATAAAAAAAAATCAAAAGGAGTTGCATAGTTATTCTGACTGCTTCTAAACAAAAATATATCAATCAATGTGTACATTCATTTAATGTTAACATCTAATTTTTAAAAAATGTGCTCATGAATTCAATAAATTGTTGAATGTTTTCTTATTTTTTTCTTTATCAGGATGTGGTCAAGAAGACGAAAGAAGCTGTTGTCTGTCAGGAGATATTATGTTTTTAATTTTGACTGACAATTTTATTGTTGTTATTGTCATTAAATGGCACAAATGAATTGAAGACTGTAGTTCTATTTTTTATTATTTGTTCATATATTATGTTGTATATAAGAATATTTTTAATTATTATTTTTTGAGTCTGCAAATTTATGTATCAGACACGAGACAAAGTAATCTTACATTCATGTGGTCTGTAAAGAAATGTTTTTTAAATGGACCTCATTTTTTCTATATTTAACAGATTATGTATCTTGGAGTGTTCTCATTACCTAACCTGTAACATGTTGATAAATTTGTACTTTATAATCCTATGAAAGATTTTATGTCAAAAAATGTTATAACCAGTTACCATTGTCAGGTATCCACTTTCAGGAATGCCACTTGCCTATAATATCAAGCTACAAAATGTTACTAAATATCTAGGTTTGAGGTATATGCTTAATCTAAAATAAGGAAATGTGGTATGATTGCCAATGAGACAAGTATCCTAAGATGGCAACCAATTCCAATCTATGGAATACAGGCCCTTTATTTGGGACTTTTATTACAGAATGAATTGGAGTTTTAACGTGGTTGTGAGCGTGAAACCCTTCCCCTAACCTGAAAACAGTAGACTGTGATAGCACAACATAACAACTAAACATTAGTTGAAATGGTATGACTCGTTGTATTGGTACAAAGCCCAAAAACAACTTACAAATGACAAAAGAGTAGCGATGTAACAGATAACAAAGGAACTGAAAGCTTGTTCAAAACAGACAACATGTAACGATGATATTTTTCATTAAGCATTTTCGTCCTAGACTACAGAATATCAAAATACATAAATCTATTTTATTAGCTCACCGGGGCCCAAAGGGCCCCATGTGAGCTTATGCCATCACTTGGCGTCCGTCGTCGTCTGTCGTCGTTGTCTGTCATCGTCGTCTGTCGTCGTAATTTATTTCAAAAATCTTCTCCTCTGAAACTACTGGGCCAAATACCTTCAAACTTTAACTAAATGTTCCTTAGGGTATCTAGTTTATGAATTATATCCGAAGTTTTGATCCATCGACAAACATGGCCGCCATGGCTAAAAAGAGAACATAGGGGTCAAATGCAGTTTTTGGCTTATATCTCAAAAACTAAAGCTTTTTGAGCAAATCTGACAAGGTGCAAAATTGTTCAATTGGTCAAGATCTATCAGCTCTGAAATTTTCAGACGAATCGAACAACCCATTGTTGGGTTGCCACCACCGAATTGGTAGTTTTAACAAAATTTTGCAGTTTTTTGTTATTATTTTGAATATTATTATAAATATATATAAACTGTAAGCAGCAATAATGTTCAGCAAAGTAAGATCTACAAAAAAGTTAATATGACCATAATTATCAATTGCCCCTTAAGGAGTTATTGCCCTTTAAAGACAATTTTACACAATTTGTTCATCAAGTTTGCTAACATTTAAAAATCTTCTCCTCTGAAATACAGGTGAGCGATTCAGGCTCTTGAGAGCCTCTTGTTTAAGTTTGTTGAATTTAAATACCTTCTTCAAAACTATGATCTATGAAATTTAGACAATAGATCGCTTCTTCTTGATAAAGAGGTAGCAATGTGAGAAAATCTTTATTCTTTTTTCATTTTCTGTATTTTATTTATGAATAGACTTGGTTTTTTGGTAGGTAAGGTTGTTCTCTTTCATTGACCACAATAGCAGCATGTTGAGTCCGGGGTCCATTAAGTACAGTTTTTTAATAACATAAAGCATATTCCGGGTGCGGGAATTTCTTGCTGCATTGAAGACCTGTTGGTGACCTTCTGCTGTTGTCTGTTCTATGGTCGGGTTGTTGTCTCTTTGACACATTCCCCATTTCCATTCTCAATTTTATTATATAAATGTTGGGTTTTTATTTTATTTAAAAGAAAGTACAATAAAAAGAACCAAGGTATGGAATTTTCTTGATGTGCAGTTACATTTGTAAGCCTATAAATTGATGTATACATATTTCATTCTCCAATAAAATTTCTTTATGCATATCATTTTTATTGTATCTATGGCAGTATAACTGTCGAATAGTGTTGCCATTTAAGAATGAGATTTGGTAAAAGAAAGAAAACTCTTTAAGAGAAATAGTTCTAGGTATTAAAAAATATGTCCAAAAGATTTTTCAACTGACTCAAAAGATGTGGGACAGAAATCTAAATGATGTGAAATACAATGGTGATGTTTGTACTAAACAAACTGCTTTTGTGCATTACACGATATATTTCCATATAACATATCTATTTACTGAAGATGTTTTGCCTTTGAGCGCTTCAGTGACTTCAAATGAAAAAAAAATGAACTGATGAAAGAGTCGTCTTATTATGCAACCTCCAAAATTTTTTGGGTTGCATATAATGCTATGATGTCGTTGTCGTCGTCCGAAGACACATTTGGTTTCCGGACAATAACTATAGTTTAAGTGAATAGATCTCTATGAAATTTTACAAGAAGGTTCAATACCACAAAAGGAAGGTTGGGATTAATTTTGGGGGTTATGGTACCAACAATTCAGGAAAAAAGGGCCAAAACAAGCATTTTTGTAGTTTCCAGACAATAACTTGTGTATAAATGTATGGATCTCTCTGACATTGTACCACAATGTTCCATATCACAAAGGGAAGGCTGGGATTGAGTTGGGGGTAATTGCCCCAAAAGTTCAGGAATTAGGGGCCAAAAACAAGCATTTTTCTAGTTTCCAGACAATAACTTGTGTTTAATTGTATGGATCTCTCTAAAATTGTACTGCAAGCTTCCATACTACAAGGGAAGGCTGAGATTGAGTTTGGGGGTAACTGCTCCAAAGGGGGGGGTTCCCAATTTTCGTCAATTGCACAGTATTGTGCAATAGATTTTTACGATCTTTGACCACATTTATTTTGTGTCAGAAACCTATATAATGTCAAAATTTGGATCACAATCCAAATTCAAACAGTATCAAGCTTGAATATTGTGTCCAAATTTGCCCCAACTGTTCAGGGTTTGACCTCTGCGGTCGTATCAGGCTGCGCTCAGCGAAGCATTTTATTTTATTTTTCTTTAAAATGCTGTTTGCAGGTGTAAATCATGCCTGATGGCCATGGAAAGTACTTGAATTCAGATGTTTTAATAGCCAAGGTAATGGTTGCAACAATACTTGGGGACGTATTTGAGGCTTAGATGTAAAGATACTTGTCATGGCTAATATTCATCCAATGTTTTTTCGGAAGAGCTTAAATCATATTTATACTTGAGGTATTCTGATGAAAAATTTACCATGCAAATGCTAGTCCTTTTCCAATTAAAAATTATTATTATGTCTTCGACAGTATTATTACCGATATTTTAATGAAATTATAGAGCCAGTTATGCTGCCAATAGAGAAATAGTTGTTTTAAATGGTGTTCTGGTCAGTTATACACAAATCATCGTGGGACTAACTAACAAACCTTCGAAACTACCACGGCTTGAAGTTAAAAAGCAGGTCATGCATGTTCAGGACGAGAACAAATTTATAAAGAATACAATAGGTTGAAAGATGGGGAATTGTACTGCCACTTGCACATGTGTGTTTGTCGGATAGGGACGTAATGATGCTATGTTAGGGGGACGACCCTTTGATATTCTGGGGGGGGGGGGGGGGGGGGGGGGGCAGGAGGATTTTGAAAATAAATAACTCAGCCTTGATAATAACAAAAATGAATGGTTTGTTCTGTGGTAGTTTGAAAATAAATAACCTGACTTACAATGTATTGAAAATAACTTGGCAGGTCTTTTAAGCCATTTCAAGTATAAATGCTATTCTGAAGTATGAGATGGCACCAGATTCTTCCAAAATTCGTCTTTTTTCATATTTTTTTCGGGAAAAACTTCCCAAATCTTTTATTAATTTAAATATTAATGTATTTGAAATGTTTGAAAATGGGTTTCATTTCACTTGAGGTATATTGAGGTATATTGTCTCGTGAACATTTAGCTCACTTTTATTACAGGGCCGTAACTACATTGAGGCAAATGCCTCATGTTGGAAATTTCAAAACAAAAGCTTGTCTTCATATCAAATTGTTTTCATGGCAAGTGTCTTGCAAGAAGCAAGTTCTGTTCACCCTCTTACGTAGCCCCTGTTTTTTGAGATCCATGTTTCTCATTTATTTTTATTTTTCAGTGTTGCCATGATTGTCTATAATGTTTGTCGTTTTGTGTTTTATCTGTTCCCGGGTTTGTCTTTTGTTCATTGATTGCCCTTCTTTGTGACTATTCTCTTAGTGTTGCATTCTATTTGTAATTTAGTAGTTATGTTTTAAACTTGAGTTTTATTATATTTAAGGACCTTTTGTCTATTACAAACTGCTTTAAATTGTATCCCAGTTAGGAACTACATCAAGTTGTAATTGAAATGTGTTATAAAAACTGACTTGACATAGTTATATCAATGATAATCAGCCCCCTCTTAACTTAATTTGAAAAAAAACATAATTGACAGGTATAAAAGGTTTTCTGCAAACTGAAACATTTTTTGCTTTGTCCTACATATTGGTCTTTTGATGTTGTCCCTAAAAACTAAAAGTCTTACACTGAATCTATGTATTTTGCTTTGAGACCAGAATATTGTCAAAAAATTAAAACAGAACTTGCGTTTCAGATTAAGAAAGGGTCTGGGAAACGCGCATAATGCATGATTTTGCGCCATTTTTTCTATAGCTTCTTGGGGCCTTCAACAAACCCCAGACTCTTCGCTGATTTTTTTTTTCGCCTCGCTCCGCTCGGCGAAAATGTTTTACAACTTTAAAAGAGGCTAGTTACAGCCCAGCTTTAATACCTTGTACGTATGCAATATATGCAGTTAGCAATTCAGAAGATTAACTTCCAGAGGATGATGATTAATTCTTATTGACTTAATTGACTATGTTATTTATTTAAGAATTTAAAAATTGTATGTTTTCAAATATTATAAATATAATTGTGAAAATAGATAATCAGTCCCTTGTTTTAATGAAAATGAAAAATTATGCTTCAACAGTGCAGAAAATAAATAATCTGTCCTTTTGGTCCACAAAAATAAATAACCCCCCCCCCCCCCCCCAGAATATCAAATGGTCGTCCCCTTACACCCATTGGATCTAACTCTGTTGTAGCAGATCACCGACGAATGACTCCTAATGGAGCTGTAGGGCGTTCTTTGACGTACAGAGTGGTAACCCCTTTCATCGGTCGTCCCACTGTCTGTATCACTCTTATTGACTCTTAATAAAATAGAATACCACGGCTCTGTGACGTTAAATACGTTGAACCAAGCCACTTAGACACGGACATATCACCGACGTTATAAAGAATGAACTGACGTTAATAGGTTTGACCAAAACCGGTTATAGTAACATGTTATGCGATTTATTGTCTGCACTTTCACTAAACTTGCACTGAAAAAAAAAATCGAACGCAGGTGTGTTCAATTTCACCATTCCACCGAAATTCAAATAATTAACAACAATTAATCAAGTGAACATGTCTGTTAGGGGCTCGATTCACCAAAAAAAAATCTGACGACAAAAAAAAATATTTGTATCTGGGACTTGTTTAATAGTCCCAGTTTATATCTAAATGTTCACGACTTACGAGTATTATTTTATGTAATATTTTTTGGTGAAATTAGTCGCTGATCGACGGAGTTTCGAAGCAGTGTACATGATGTTCTTCTGGTGATCTCAAAGCTAAAGATAAACAATAGGGTATTTAGTACTAGTTCTAGTACTAGTTCTATCCTGCATGGACTTTATGAAAACAGATTATAGGTCCGAACGAGCGATTTTGTAAAATTAAGTATAAAAAGGTGGATTTTGAACAGCAAAACGTATAATTTAATACCATTGCATGTATGTGGCGCTATATTAATGCTGAATGGAATGCATTGAATGCGCTACGTACAATATATTTTTGTTTAAATTAAATTTGAAAAAGTGTACAGTAAGTAATGTTATTAAGATGAGCGCTTTCGAAATATAAACAGGTTTATAATAATAATTGATTGTCGTGTACGCTTAACGTCCAGTGGCAAATATCTCATGCATGTTCATGATGAGGGTGTATAATAAATAATTATTAAAGCCCCTCGCTTTAAATCTCATAGTATATACCTTTTCATAGACTAACCTAGACGTATAGTCGTCCATAAAAGGCACCGATATGAATCATACGAAACTATTCAATTGAGAAAACTAGCGGCCTAATTTATACAAAACAATTTACGAAAAACAAATATGACAGACAAGAACCAAGGACAACCACTGAACTACAGGTTCCAGACTTGGGACAGGCACATAAATAGATAATGTGGCGGGTTTAAACATGTTTGTGAGCGCTCAACCTTCCACTAACCTGGGACAGTGGTGTAACAGCACAGCATAAGAACAAACTATAAAAATCAGTTGAAAAAGGCTTAACTCGTCAAATCGATACAAAGAAAAACATCAAACAAAAACACAGACAGGACGTGGTAGAGTATATATCCATCATCCCACAACAAAAAAGACACTAAGTAGAGATCTAAGAGTATAAGAAGTTACTGACAGGTATTTCCCAATAACAATTAATTTAAAAAATCATGTATCTAAGACTAAAATATTAATCAGTACGCCATTAACAGCCATGATCTTGTGCAATGCTAAAATATAGGTATCGAAAGATTGTAGTTCATGTTATTGCATAGAAAAACAAACTGATCAAAGAAATGTTTTTGATATTTTAACTGCGCTCGTCAAGGATACACGTGAGATCAAAACGCCACGTGACGCCAGAGACTTGTAATACAATTGCATGCGTATACAATTTGTGAATTTAGTCATTTTCATCTCTTCAAGTGCAGCAAATCGTCACCTTATAGATCAATTACCTTTGCAATCTCATCCTTATAATTCTTGAAATATGAAATATTTGCCACTGGACGATAACAAATAACAACAATCGACAATCGTTAATGACGAGTATTGTCCTGTATGATGCTACGACAATGCAAACTA